TTTTACACATTCATTTTATTTAGTTAATGTCTCAAGGTTTTAATCGTTTCATTGTTTTCTAAAATTGTTTAGTGTTTAAATTCAATTTTTATTTTATTTTGGTAATTTTGAATTTAAAATTAATCTCAAGTTTTTTCAAGTTCCAATTTAATTTTTTTTTCTTTTTTGTAATTATTTGGGGAAAAAAACGAAAAAAAGAAAAAAAGAAAAAAAGAAAAAAAAAATTTGGAAAACCAGTTTGGACCCGGACCCGGATGGACCCGGGTGGACCCGCCCCAGATCCGGACCCGCCTCCCCACATATCGGTTTCGGGTCCCCTAAAAGTCGGACCCGGCCCCGGCCCGCCCCGTGGCTGTGTCTATTTGCACCCTTAAAATGGAGCAATTTTACACTTTGCACCCTTGAAAAATAATTATAGCACTTTGCACCCTCAAAACAAAATAAATCATTCACAATGCACCATGAATTGAATAATAAATGCAATTTCATTTTTATTGGGTTTTTTTCGGGATGCAAAAAAAATTAAATTTTTATTTTCTTCAACTTCCAACCTGATTTCAATGCACAAAATGCGAAAAATAAAAATCACACCGGATCATTGTAAAAAACTACATTTTCATACAAAATAAAATAATTTTTTATCACTAAATTATTCGATTGATGAGATCTTTTGTTGTAACTGTTGGAAAAATTAGGTAAAAACATTTGAAAGAAAATATGATTTTCAGATAACTTGATAACGAAATAGCTAAAGCTTTTTTTTCTTTTTTTTTTTTGTAAAATAGTTTTTTGTGATAAAAATATAATTTTTAATTATATTGATGAAAAGTATTTTTATTTTTGCACTTTATAGTTTCAAAGTTATTGATGAATAAAAAAAATGATTTGACCTTTGTTATCGAAAAAAATACTAGTAAAAGTATTAAATTACCTTTGTTAGCTTTAAAAATTCAATTGGGGTGCATTATGCATGATCTTGTGTTTCGGTTGTGCAAAATGCAATTAATTTATTTTGAGAGTGCAAAGTGCCAAAATGATATATTTCAAGGGTGCAAAGTGGAATTAAGCCATTTGTAAAGTGATTTAGGTTTCAGCGGGTAAACTGCATCAAACCCCCCTATTTTATTTAAAACCTGCATAAAATCCCCTAGGTTATTTTTATTGCGTAGAATCTCCCTTTGTTTTGTTTTATTTTATCTTGCATGAAATCCCATATTTTGTTAACAATTAACACCTTAACTATTGAGGGGGCTTAAAGCATGTCTTTTATAAGACAAGGGGGCTTGATGCATGATATTTATAATAAAGTGGAATTTATGCAAAAGACATGTCTTTGATTGATTCAGGCAGCAACAATATTTATTACCTATTAGAAACCCTAGAAACCTCCTCAAGAAAAAAAAAAAAAAAAAAGGTGAGTTGTTATGGCAATAATCGAAGAAAGGTCAATAATTGGGCAAAAGAGAAAGAGTTCAGTTGGTTTTACGGAAATCGAAGAAGAAAAAAGTTGGGAAGAGGAAGAAAGTTCTGAAATTGTTTATCTTCGAAATTATAGAAACGGTTCTGTCAAAATTACCGGTGAATTGTCTGCTTAGAAATAAAACGGTTTCAAAATCATGGAATACTATCATCTCCGATCCTTTGTTCCTCAAGAATTATCAAGGAGAATCATCTTCTTCTTCGACCGTTTTTCTATCTCATCTACTCTTCATTACAGATTTTGATTTGGTTAAATTCCAAGATCTAAATATTCGACAAGTACAACAACTGAAATCCCCTCCAACATGTCCTTACAAAATGTTGTGCTATTGCGATGGCGTCATACTTTTAGCTCATCCTTTTTCCAAGGATTTTATGTTGTGGAACCCGGCTAGCGAAAGCCGACCAAAATCGTTTATCTCCCAAAACCAATATAGCTTCAACTTCAACTCTGTGTTGAGTTATGGGCTTTGTCACGATCCCGGCACGGTTGCCGTTTTTAAGTTTGTTCTAATATTTATCAACGGCTACCTAGTTTATTCGGACAAGTACAAAGTCGGCTTCTGCACTTGGAAAGAATTCGAAGAACCGACGATGAGGGTTCCGGAAGTGGTGAATGGTTGTGGAGTCTCTGCTGATGGGGTTATCTATTGGGTTACGTGTCGAGAAATTATTTATTTTGATCCGCGAGACGACAAGTTCAAGATTTTGCCTTTTTCAAATTTTGATGATGATGATGATGGATTGTTTTACTTGACTGAATTGAGAGGCTGCTTGTGCATGTATCGCAACAAAGGCAGAGACAAGACCAAGGTTCGAATCTTGATTAAGAGAAAGGGAAGGGACAATAATTCTTGGAAGTATTTGATAACTATCGAGAATGTGGAGACGCCGATTTCCTCGTTTGAGCCGAAATATTTTGTGGAAGACAAGATTTTTATCCTATTACACACTACAACTGTATCGTCCGGCACCCAACCTGCTAGTTTGTTAGTCATCTACATCCCTTTCCGGAAGACGTTCGAAGAAGTTAAACTCTCCAAGTTTCATGATTTGGTTCCGTATATTCATAATCCCGCCATCCTAAGTGTTATTTGATGATACTCTTTGGATTACAGAGTTTGCACTCACAATAATAATGTTCATACTTTGATTATATAGTTTAAACCCATATTGTATTCTTCCGGAAAAATCAGAATATTATTCCATTGCAACATTCAAGTTATTTCTTTTATAGCCGTCCATTCCGATAGGGCCTCGTTTAGTTCGGGTGATAAGGCAAGATAAATTAAATAGTAACACTTAACATGGCCCCAACAATTTGTCGGAAAAATCGTTTTATTGTGGGTAGGGGCCGTAGGGCTGGCAATCGGGCCATGTGACCGAGCTTGGGTTGGCTCAAGCTCACATACAATCAGACATTGTTACTATAGGCTCAAACTCGCATACCATCGGGCTATGCTCAAGCTCGGTTCATGTATTTTTTCGGGTTTCAGGTTTATATCGGACCCCATTACTATATAATTGTAACGGATAAAAAAATTATAAAAAACAAGTGATAAACAAGATTTACCTCTATTGAAGCCTATCCAAAACAACCCTAAACGATCTTTACAAGTTATTGGAAAAACATAAAAACAAGACCGCAAGAAGTAAAAAAAATTAGTAACTCTTATTATTGAAAACGTTTTTATATTCTCAAATCTCGTTATAAATTCAGCAATTGGATTAGAGTGTGTATTTTGCATTTGATTCCTATTTTACTTAGTGCGACCGCCACCACTTAATTCCTTTTATTTTGCAAAAAGAAAAAAAATAATCTTATATGATCGTTAATTTGTATGTTGAGTCATAGCATTAAAATAATAAATATATTATACATTTTATTATTAACCTAATCGGTGGGGCCTTATTTGGGTTGAGCCATAGTCGGTTCAAACTCGGCTCATAGATAAATTCGGTTTAGTAAAATGACTCAAACTCGGCCCGGCTCACTAAAAGGTAGACTCGGCTCAAATATAATCGGGCCGAGCCATCGTGCTTCGGTTAGGCCCGGCTCAATTGCCGATCCTACTCTTAGGCAATGTTTGGTAGCAATTTGGAGCTTATTTTCATTTTGTTTTGAGCAAATGTGTTTTAGCCTTTTAGGTGAAAATTTTGAGATAGAAGAGATGTTTGTTTAAATTATGAGTGGAAATTGAAACGGAATTTTCGATTTCTGTCGATTACAATCCGAAAGTTTTCGATTTTGTAACAATACTTTTCAATCCAAAATTCGAAAATCTGAGTTCCGATTTTTCCAAAATTATTTGGATTAGAATTGGAATATATACGAGATTCCAATTTTAAGTTCCGAAAATAATTCTAGAATTCCGATTCTTTTTCTAATATTACAATTAACATACCAATATTATTGTGTATTTTATATTTTCGGTGACCAAAGAATAGAAATTTCCGAATCCGCCGATTCCAATCCAAAATTTTCTGATTTTGGAACAAGTTTTTTCATTCTACTTTCTGAAATTCCGATTTCGATTTATTTTGGAATGGCATTGGATACAGTTTTGTATTTCCGAAAAAAAATCAGATTTTTTCTAAAAGGGTGTATTCTGAACCGGTCAATCCGATGTACATTCCTGGTTTAAATTTTTAATAATTTTTTAAACTGAAAGGGGTGGTGGTGTTTTTGTCATTTCAGAACTTAGACCAAACGGTGTTAAGGTCAAATGTCTAACAACTAACAGCGATGGCCACATTGAGACAATTTTTCAAGTACAGGCAGCAAAACAATTGGGAAACTAACACTTTGTTATACATTTATGTGTTTTGCAGCCCTTCCATTCATCACTTCAAATCAAACCTCAAAAAGGATTTCACTACACACTCAAAACTTAAATAAAATTAGCAAAAACACCAAATACCAAAGTTGTATCATTCATTATTATACATAAAACTCCAAAGATGCATAAATAAAAACAAACTTGCTACTTGTCTCAATAACTCGGTTACAACTTTATTTTCTTACTTACTAACAACACCGCCAGAAATAAAAATAACTCGATAACTTGTCTGAATAAAATTTTCAACCAGTGTTCTGCAAGCCAGCTGCAATACCCTTCATGGTCAAAATAAGCGTGTCCTCCAAACCCGGAGCATACTCGCTAGTCGGGTTAAGCTTCACAAGTTCATCAGCCGGTTTGTTAGTATCCATTTCCATTATCTCCTTAGACAGATGTGGGCCCACCTCCACGCTGTAACTAGGGTCACGGATCCTCTTCAAAGTGTACACCTGGCACACATTCAGTACCGTGATGTACGGGTCCCGCAGCGTAAGCCTCTGCCTCAAGTAAGGATCTCCTTGAAGTAAATCCGTGTGTCCAGCAACCTAAAAGACATACATATATAGGAATTCCTTAATTTCTACAAAACATGTCTTTTAATATACGTTTATATGTATTATATATTTAGAAGAATTTATTGCAATTAGTACCCCTGTGTTATATTGAATAGCTAAAAAACCACCATATGTTTTTTTTTTTGACAAAACCCCCCTATGATTTATTTTTTTCCCCTAAACTAAGAGAAATGAATCATAGGGGGGGGGGGGGGGTTTTGCCAATAAAATAACACGGGGTAGTTTTTGAGCAATTCGATATAACACAGGGGTGCTAATTGAAATAAACACATACTTAGAAGGACAAAATGCACTTCACCCCCTATAAATTTCAAATTTTTGCACTTTCCCCTCTAAAAATTCAAAAAAAGGATCCCCTTCGAAATACCATTTTGGTTGCACTTTGCCCAAGAAGCCAATTTCTGGAGGGCCTTGTGCAGCAAAAATAACATTTTAAAGGGGCAACACGCCAAAAAGTAGTGTTTATAAGGGGCAACGTGCAACAAAAATACTCAATTGCGGTGAATAATCCATCGGAGTTTTGCTATCGGGGAAATGTGCAACAAGAAGATTTTGAAGGGGGCACATTCACTTTTTAAAAAAATAAAAAAATTTAGGGGGTAAAGTGCGAAAATTAGAAATTTACAGGGGGTGATGTGCAATTTGCCCTACTTAGAATGTCATTTTATTTACCTGAAGGATGAGATTTCTGGTTGTTTCATAGTGGGCGCGGAGCTGCTCTCCGAAGGACCACAAATCCTCAGAGACCAAGAGTTTGTCGTACAGAGCAGCGATTCCCGGGTCTCCCTTAGCGAAAACCATTTCGATCAAATCAATTGTGACTCTAAAGAAAGGCCACCCGTTGTACATATCTTTGAGCATGTTCAAGTTTCTTATATCCTTGTCGATGACATGTTGCATCGCAGCACCGAACCCCAGCCACACGGGGAGATGGAACCTCGTCTGCGTCCATGCAAATATCCACGGGATCGCTCTCAGAGATTCTATTCCTCCGCTCGGTTTTCTCTTTGATGGACGACTCCCAATGTTCATCCTACCGTACTCCAACTCCGGTGTCGCCTGAAAAAAAAGATCCAATCTTTTGGTAAAATTTTCAAATTTAAGTTCGTCAGATTCATGCTTGACACTCTATAAACATGAAAAAAAAAAAGAATTATAAAACAAATTTTCACCGTTTTTTTTTTAAATTCAAATCCCATTACATATGGGATTGTACGAGAGGGGTCGAATAAAAGTATTTTGTGCGTGGTACATTTAGCCCTCTAATCATAAAATAACACTAACCTCATTAATTACTTGGCCTTAGAGCTAAGGTCGGTGTTCGAAATTCTGTCTTCTCCTTACACAATTTCAAATTTGAACCGGGGTTAATTGCATTTAGCACCCCTATATTTACTCTAATCGTTAAAAAAAAATCCCGTATTAAAAATATTCGCAAACAACCCCTTAAAAACACATGATTTAGGGGATCTAGAGGGTTGTGGGCTAAAAAAAATGCATCATAGGGGTTTTTTTGCTAATATTTATAGCACGTGAATTTTTCTTAGCAATTCGATATAACACAAGGGGTGCTGAATGCAATTATCTCTTTTTGAACCCCCAAAAAAAAAAAAAAACTCAGAACATAATCAAAATAAATACTTACGAGGCGAAAGTATTCGACGAATCGAGGCTCCTGGAAAACCACCGAGCGGTACTCCTCGGTGGCGACAACAGCCATCTCGTCCATGAGGGCCCGCCACTCGGGCTTGGGGGCAACGGGGGGGTGCATCCCGTGCTCCAGCGTGGCGGCGGTGAACCGCTGAAGCGTCCTGAAGCAGAGATGCTCCTCCCCAAACGACTGCTCGATGACCTCACCCTGCACAGTCACACGGAGCGACCCGTGAACCGTATCTGGCGGCTGCGACAGAATAGCCAAATGGGTCGGCCCGCCGCCACGCCCGACGGTCCCGCCCCGCCCGTGGAACATCGTCAGCTTCACGCCGTACTCCTTCGCCACCTTCACCAGCTCCTCCTGCGCCTTGTACAGCTGCCACGCCGCCGACAACCGCCCCGCGTCCTTGCCAGAGTCCGAGTACCCGATCATCACCTCCTGCTTCCCGTTTATCCTGTCGCGGTACCAATCAATCGAGAACAATCGAGCGACCGCCGCAGGGGCGGATTCGAGATCGGCGAGCTTTTCGAAGAGCGGCACCACCCGGAGAGGGTTGCTGACGCGGCACTCCCGCTGGAGGAGCTCCACCGCCAGCACGTCCGACGGGGCGGTGGCCATGGAGATGATGTAGGCGCCAAAGCTGTCGGAGGGGAGCTCCGAGATGACTTTGAATGTGTCTAAAACGTCCGATATTTCCTCGGTTTTGGGGAGGTCGGATCCGAAGAGGGGACGCTTGCCCCTGAGCTCGGAGAGGAGCCACTCCTGGCGGCGGTTTTCGTCCCATTCTCTGTAGGACCCAATGTCCAGGTGGCGGGTGATGGCATCAAGTACGTCTGTGTGCCTCTCGGATTCCTGACGGATATCGAGGCGCACGAGTGAGAGTCCGAATGTGGAGACTTGTCTTAGGAAATCAAGGAGGCTTCCGTCAGCGATCGCGCGGTCCCCGCATGCGCAGAGCGACGTGTAGCACAGCTCGAGCGGCTCCAGAAACTGAAGGTGGGAAAAAAAAATTATAATGATTTATTATCATAAAAAAAAATTAAATTGAATGAAAAAATGGATGGAAGGTTCTAGAATGAGGTGTGATTGACCTCTTCGACATTTGTGAAAGTCGATTCGCGAGGAATGTCGGAAGCTCCGTCGGTGAGTAATTGGCGTGCGTGTTCGCGCGTGTGGTAAAGCTTGTCCCTCACGTATCCAAGGATGACGCGATAGGGCTCGTTCCCTGGAACTTGCTTCCAAAATTCTGGAGGAAAATAATTCATTTAAAATATTAAGATCCGAATATATTTGCCAAGAAAAAAAAAAAATAAAAAAAAAAAAAAAAAAAAAAAAAAAAGAGGAATGTTGATATATACCAATGTAGTGTTTAGCATCTCTTTTAGTGGAGCTGTGGAGTTCGATAGCACGTGTGCGGAGTTCATCACTGCAACGCCACATCGACAGCTGCCAGCACAGAGACAAACATAATAACAACATTAAAAAGGATAAAAAAAAAATTAAAGAATTGTCGGAAAAAAAATATAATCTCAAATTTGTTATATATATATACCTCGAACATGAGATCCTCGATCTGAGAGAAGTAGAGATTAGCAACCATCATCCTAGCCAGTAAGCACACGTCTCGTGTAACTTCAGGGGTTACTCTAGGATTGCCTATCAATTAACAAACACATTTCATTTCAGAAAAAAATAAAAAACTAAAGATTATAGTTTCGGAAATTGAGTTCCGTAAATATAAAAAATAAGGAATAATAATTATTATTATTATTATATAAAAAAAAATATACCATCACGATCGCCGCCCATCCAAGAAGAGAACTGAATAAGAGGGGCATTGTAAGGAACACGCTCGTTGATTCCGATATTCTTCAAAGCAGTGTCGACTCTGCGTAAGAACTTCGGTACACCCTTCCATATCGTCTCGTGGAAGTAACTCATTCCAGCTCTCATCTCATCTTGTGGGGTCGGAGGGTTTCTCCTTATTTCGTCTGTCCTAAATCCAGCTTGTATCTTCAACAAGCAACATTAAATCAGACACGTAATATCAACTATATGCCTAACTAACAAGAAAGAAATATAATATATATATATAATCCCGACGCATATAGAACTCGAAGTATAACTAGTTCTTTCCAAGAAAAAAATAAGCAGTCAGCTCTTAGAATTATACGTAATTTTGCATCATATCCCAAAATAATACGAAGATCATTCATTTTAATTTAGCATCATATAATAATTAATAAAACGGGTGTCGAAAAAATTAACACAGACCTCTCTTTGCAATGCTTCGTCAAGCTCCTGCTTATCGTCAGGGGTGATATCCTTTGCATTCAGCTGAGTCAAACAGTCACGAATCCTGGTCAAAAGGAAGAAAAAAAGAAGATTCAATATAAGAAAACGATAGTATGTAACGAAAATAAAATAAAAACTGATCGTATGAAAACAAACCTTGCGTGTTTCTGAAGCAAAGATCTACGAACAGACTGAGTGGGATGAGCAGTGAGCACTAAATCGACGGTTTGATTCTTCAGAGCATCGAAAACTTCTTCAGGGGTCTTGTTCAGTTCGCCCACAAGCCTCTTCAGCGTCTCTTCGATGTTGGACTCAGTTGTGGCCGAAGCCTCGTCGGAGAAATCGTTCTTCTTCAACTTAATCCTTCGCCTGTACGCAATCTGAACTTCTTCTGCAAGATTCGCTAACGTGAGCATGTTCGAGAATGACTTGGCAACAACAATGGAGTCTCCAGCATCCAAACTAGTGAGCACTCTCCCGAGCTCTTCGAGCTTCTGAGGGTCCCGCTTCCCTTCGTACTCTGCCGAAATCTCGTAGCAGTCTTGAACCTATTTTCCATGTTATACACGTAAGTTTCAAAATGCATAATAAATAATTTCAGCCAATTGAATAAGATCACGTTTGGTTGCCAGGATACGATTAGCCATGATAAGATTAAATAATGCACAACAATAATGAATGCATGACAATATAACATTCCCGAGTCGACCTTCGAAGTGATTGGGTTTAGCAAACATCAAATAAAAGTCCAATTTATTAAGTTAATCACGGCTAATCTCCCAAACCAAACGAGGCCTAAGTCTTTCAACCATAATATTAAGGCCCTCGTTTGGTTGCCAAGATAAGATTAGCCAAGGCAAAATTAAACAATCTAATGAAACCCAATTATATTATTGGACCTCGGAAGATCCAATAAAAAACATGCCTAAAAGGCAAGATAATGGTAACATAATATTCACGGGTCGACCCGGCAAATTTACTAGGCATACCAAACATAAAACAAAGTCCAATTTATTAAGTTAATCGCGGCTATTCTCCCATACCAAACGAGGCCTAAGTCTTTCAACCATAATATTAAGGCCCTCGTTTGGTTGCCAAGAAAAGATTAGCCAAGATAAAATTAAATAATCCAATGAAACCCAATTGTATTATTGGACCTTGGAAGATCCAATAAAAGACATGCCTAAAAGGCAAATAAGATAAGGCATGATAACATAATATTTGCGGGTCGACCCGGCAGATTATTGGGATACCAAAAATCAAACAAATTAATCATGGCTAATCTCCCCAACCAAACGAGGCCTTAATCATCTATTTAGTTTAGTTAACCATGGCTTAATCTCCCCAACCAAACGAGGCCTTGTTTGGTTCTCAGCTTTCAGATTTAGACTAAAGGGGGCAAAATGCAAATTAACATTCAAAAACTTAATCAAATCCCAAATTCTAAACTGATTTATTTATCAATTACATACAACAATCAGTGAATCCAAACATACAGAGCAAAAAAAAATCAGTGAATAAATTACCGTTTCTCTGATTTCATCACCATGCAAATCCTGAAGGATATCGAGAAACCGGTCAAGCAGAAGGGCGTCGTACTCCACAAGCTTATCATCTTCAGAAACTTTGCCGGGCGCCAAAAGCCGCAACTGGGCATCAATTGATGCCATTTTCTCTAACTTCCTACTCATTTTCTTTTCTCTCTCTTTCTCTCTCTACCCCCACACAATATATATATAGAGAGAGAAACAAAAGGGACACGGGATTTTTGGGTGGTTCAACTTAACTTTTGCTAGAGAGAGAAAAGAAGAGGAACCCAGAAAGAAAGAAAGAAAGAAGAGAGATTGTATTGTATATATGAATCACGAGAGAGAAGATGATGTGGGTTTTATAGAGAGATTTTCTTGAAAGCTCAGTTGGAGTGAAATCTTTGATTTTTTAACACTTGTGCTTTAGTTACCTACTAGGAGAGTATGCCACTCGTAGATGCGAATATATAATATATACAGTTTGAATACTTTTTAGGAGTGTAATTTCTTCCTACGACCGTTTACTTTTGATTTTGATGTGTAAAAAATTATCTTACTTTCTATATTTTCCAGTCGAGTAAATTATGGTCACCGCTGAGTTAAAGTCAAATTAAGAAGAAAATAAACTATTACGTTTGAGTAATTACAATTTACAATCATTCTTCAGCCATGAATTTTCTTACTCATTCATTCTTATGGTGTCAAATTCTACATAATCTTCTAGATTCCGTGGAATAGTGGAATGTTCTCTACTTTGTACTCGTTTTCTGTGCAAAAATGCAACACATTTTATGATCATCTTGTTTCAAAATGTGGAGCCCGAATGGGATTAAATGGGTACAAACGGAAGAATATTCCACATAATTCATAAGATTTCAGTAAATTTGACGCGTAAGGGTTGACTTGTAAGAAAATTTACAGTTGAGCAGGGTGATTGTAATTACCCAAACATGAGAGATTTTTTTTCATAATTTTAACATGCCACATGGATTTTTTCAAACATTAAAGAGATATTGCACTTGGTGAAAAGCACGTGGTGAATTTACACCATAGATCTACACAAAAATAATCATCCACTAAGCACACAAATATATAGGTGTGTGTGCATCTTAGTATGTGTAGGTCAATGGTATAATATCAGCCGCTGTATTTCATTGGGTATAGCATCTACAAAACCGTAGTGATTGTATGTTATATCAAATATCCAAATTTGATTTGATTTGTAATTATGAGATTTTAATTTTAGTTCTCTTATTTTACATATTAACTATATAAAATTATAAATGGAAAAGGAAAAGACAACCAATCACATTTTTTTGGTGTTTTCATTACAAGGTTAGGAGTATCAAATTGGACCACGGGTGTTGACATAAAAACCTCATGTATCTGACCATATGAATATTATAGTGAGGGTATGAAATTGGGCAGTATTTGTTATTTGATTTTGGTTTTCGATCCAATTTTAAATTCAAATAAAAATAAAATATGTATAATTCTTTTTCCCAACAATTACATTTATACTATTAATATTATAATATAAATGAATTAAAAAAATTGAATTTCGTTGATTTTGATCCAATTTTTATTTTGGACAAGTTATTTTGTTCCAACTTTTGAAATTTTAATTCTCATTTTTTTTTTTTTTTTATTTGGGAATGGAGTTCGAAATTAGTTTTCCCTTCCAAAATATTTGGATTTTTTTAGAAAATGATAATTCCGATCCAATGAGTCAAGTTTCCTCCTCTAATTCAAAATCATGACGTATAATATACATTATTGTAGATAGAACATTCAATTAATCGACTATATATATTTGTATATTAAGTAACAATTTATTGTTTCTATCTCTAATAACTTATAAATACATTGTTATCCAAAATACAAACTATTTGTTACAATTCCCTCAATATTATGACCCGTGAGTCACGACTCACAAGGGAGTGTGTATCCGGTTTTGTAGAACCTACACCTGATAAAATACACCATGTAGTTTTACACTATTGATCTACACATAATAACACACATTCATGTGTATATGTGCTTAACAAGTAGTTATTTATGTAGATCTACGATTTAAAACACCATGGCGTATTTCAGCAGGCGTTGGATCTCATAAGCCGTGTGAATCCATCAAACACTAAAAAAAGTACATTATGTTATATATATATATATATATATATATATATATATATATATATATATATATGATATCAAATAGATATCTAACTACACAACAAGGGAAAATAAATGATAAGACAAAAGTAAAAGAAGTGGAATAGAGGGATCATGGGGAAGTTGTCTTTAGAAGGGCATGAAAAGTCAATAATTGCATTCATAGGCTCTTGAAAAATTGAAGATCTTGAAATCATGAAGAGGCACCGATTCAGTGTGTTTTTTTGTCAGAAGCAATAGAAACAAGAAAAAAGCTAAGGGATTTTGCAACTTCAAACCATCTCCATCCAAACATGTGGTGCTCAAAACTTGCCCTCTTTAAAGCAAATAACAATCAAATTTGGTTTTTATAAGCCAACACTTAATTACTACAGTCAAGGGCCTTAATTTATGTAGTATTTATTCCGTCTTAATTATTACTATCGTTTTTTTGTTGTGACACACAGGGGCGGGTCCAGGGATTTTTTGTTGGAGGGGTTAGAAGATGTGGGTGATTTAATAGAAGGAAAAAAACTTTTTTCTAGGCTAAACGTGTATAAAAAAAATTATTAGATCAAGATCCGGACAGAGTTTTTAAATGGTATACATCACTGCAAGAAAAAATAGAACTAGTGACACCCCAATTGTGATAATAAATGCATATATAATATAAGTGATGACATTGTGTTTGTTGTCACTATTAGTTCTTTTATTGTCACTTAATTCCTTTTTTTTTTTTTCATCTCGATAAATTAATAACTTCGTTTGACTAATAATTTCTTCTGGTTTCGACTCAGTAAAAATATACTAATTTTTTGTTTGATAATTTTAATATTTGGCTAAATTAATATAATTTTACTAATTACAAATGTATTAATTTATAGAGGTTTAACCGTATCACTAGTGATACTTGTTGACATGGTGACAACATTTTTTGCTTCATATGTGAAAATATGGAGTGTCACTTAAAATATTTATTTTGGTATGTATCTTCATCTACAATTATCATTTTATGATAAAATTCGGATTTCGGAAAGGAACATAATTTTGGAGAAAATAAAGTAGGTTTCATTATGATAAGCACATGCAATGGAATCGGAGTTTGATTTGCACACAGTTATGCAAATCTTGAAATTTGTTTTCCGTTTTCAATTTTTTTCACAAGGGAAAATAAGTCAACCAAAGCATATACCAAAAGATATGCTGAAATTGGTATAACTGAATATAAGTGAGTCCAATTATCATTTGGCAAACTCCTTTACTAATTTTATAATTTACATTTGAATAGAAGCATTAGATCCTTTCGTACATCCTAACTTTTGATTCCTATCAGTAAAGCATATTCTCACATAAGAATTTCAAACAAGTGTACAAGTTGAGATGAAGACAATAAATGCGAAGAGTCAAATGTTTCAAGAGTATACATCAAGATATTAATATGGCTTTATTGTATTTATTACGCTTGTATTTACTCTATTTATTAACAAACTTTTATTATTATTATTATTATTATTATTATTATTATTATTATTATTATTATTATTATTATTATTATTATTATTATTATTATTATTATTTGATGCTGCTCAAATGCCAATTGGGCAACCCAAGAGTCCTTGAGCCCACAAAGATAGAGAATGTCGTGAGTCACTGCCACGTGTCCGAGGTAGTCGAAGGGACTGCTCCGTTCGTTAACCTACAAAACAATTGAAACACTAGATGACACGCCGGGTTTGGCCCGGCGATTATCCTCCGACGCTCAAGTCAGAAGATGTATTAATATAAGCAAATAATAGTAATTAATTGCCAAATTAGAGTGTACCTTCCTATGTGAAATAAAACATACATTTATAGGTGAATGAATAGGTAGGACTTTTGTAGAAATCCGATGTGGGACAATGTGTTGTCATTTTAACGGTAAAAAATAATCTAATTGAGTTTTCACACACAATTAGATTAATTGCGGCAATTTGGGCATAATCGTAATTGGGTTTATGAGCCCAATTATGATTAGACACATCATTAAGCCCCCCACTTCCAAGTTGGGTCATGGCTTGTGAGCCTAGTTGGAAGTAATATATAAGCCCTCTCATTCCCTTGTAGGGTTTTTTTTTTTTTTTTGTATTTTTGAGGTTTCTTTTTCGCGAATTGTGCTATCGAGATTTAAGAATAATTGACAAACTTCCAAAGGTATAAATATCTTTTGCCAATCCTCTCTTTTTTTATTCGAATCCTTGTGTCGTTGGTTAAATTCGTTGTTTGTTGTTTGGAGTCTCGAAATTGCATTTGATAAAGGCGTAGAATCTTGATGTCGGGTCTAAGGTTGTTGGATGAGTCTAGCGACGAACTATGTGGAGTTAACTCGGAATCCGATAATTTCGAAGTTGGGAATTCGAAAAATCTTGATAGCTGGGTTGAAAGAGGTCGAAATTTGGAGTCCGGGAGTATGAATTTTTCGAAATTCGGAGTTGTGAGCGAGAAGTTATGTGCGAAACAGTGTAATGGTGCGTTATTCGAGGGAAAATCCAGCTCTGGCGGCTGTGGTATCGATTTTCGTGCTAAAAAGGTGGGGGTGACGTTAGCCCTGGGAGGCGTGACGTCACCGTGCTTCGAGAATCGCGCGGCTGGGTGGAGGAGCGAGTCGACTCGGGCGGGCCTAGCGAGTCGGGTGGCGGAGTCGACTCGGGCAGGTGGGTCAGACCGGTCGGGTCTTGCAACTCGGTCAGGTGAGTTGACTCGGGGGAATGAGTTAACGCGGTCAGTGGAATCGGGCGGGTCAACTCGGTCGACCGAGTTAACTCGGATGGTAGTGGTGCGTGACGTCAGCATGACGTCACCCGGAGCAGGGATTGGGTGTGACGCGCGCGTGGACGATGGCAGCGACGGGCGCGTGGAGCATGTGGGAACAGCTGCTGGGAACTATTCCGCGCGTGGGGGCGCGTTCGGATCATCGCCGGCGCGTGGGGAGCGCGTGCAGGGCCGTTTGGAGCCCGTTTTTTCCGCCAAGCACCGTGTTTCAACTGCCAACTCCGATGTGGGTCCAGGGTTTTGTTCCGTGGAGTTAGAATGTAGCGATCCCGAGACTTGGGCGTGGTCTCGACGTATTAATGTATTTGGGTCGAACCTTAATCTAAAAAATTCCGTGCTCCGTGAGTCGAAGAGAAGACGTGTACTCGAGGTGGACGAGAGCTTATTGACTGATGAGGAGGAAGAATTAATCGATTTTTCCAGCGGTAGTTTTCCTGAGGAATATTCAAAAATATTTTCCGAATTAAATTTCGACTCTTCCTTTAGAGTCGGTCAACTTCCCGAGATTCTAGACTATCTACGTGTCGAGCATGCTATTGAGATATTGGTTCCGGGTAAGGAAGAGAGATGCTATGCCCCTCCTGATGGCTACTTTACGGTATACCTTGCATCATTTTCGGTTGGGTTCACTTTGCCACCTGATCCGGTTCTTGTTCAAATTTGTCGTGATGTCAAGGTAAGCCTCAGCCAATTAACGCCGAACGCGTTTCTTTACTTCAAAGGATTTTGCCATCGCGCTGAGTCCGAGGGTTTTCCAATTTCAGCAAATTTATTTCACTCCATGTTTCTTGTGAAGCCGCTGAGGGACAAAGCTCCTAATTTTCATTTTCATCCTCGGTCGAAATGCAAGTTTTTGAAGAAAAATGATAATAAGTGGGGGAGTTGGAAAGAGTGGTTCCTATACGTGCGGAATGATTGGGAAGTTCCTTCTGTATGGGGTGAAGTGCGTCCCGTTGAGTGGAGTAATGAACACTCTGGACTCAAAATGGATTGTATCGGAATGGGTTTTTTCGATTATTTCTTCGACCCTTTGACTTTATTTTCTAAGGGTAGAGGAGTTGTGCTATATTGATTGCTCCACTATTTTTCTTTATAGTTTCCTTGAAGCTAATATTTTTGTATTTGCTGTTTTCGTGTTCTGCAGGTGAGACGATGAGCTATAATGATTTCAAACGTCATTGCATGAACAATGGATCCTCGAAGTCCGTGTCTCGAAACACACCTCCGCCCTCGCGACCCATGGCAAGGGAGTCGGGAAGAGGCACTGCTGAGGATCGAAGTAGTGGGAAAAAGCCAGTTCATGGGGTGGGATCGTCACGTGGTCCGGAGGTGGCTGTGAAGAAGAGTGTTGGAGTCTCGGATCCCAAATCCGCCGACAAAGGTCGTCTTGCTATTGTGAGTGCACTCCCGCTGCCTTTGAGTGAGCTCAAGTCACCCTCCGCTTCTGGGGATACCCGTGTCGCCCCTATCGCCGCGCATGAAAAAAGGCCTCGCACTTTAGTCGTTGAGGAGTTGGTGTTACCGCCCGTTAATGCATGGAAAGGGAATTTTGTTGCTGGTGTTGATAGGACGCAAAATGGCGGTTCGGTGTTTGACGTTCTTGATAGTGCCTTGGCCATGGAGAAGGTATTGGGTTTCCCGACGGAGTTTGATTCTACTAGTCTTGCCGGGAAACCTCTGGATGAGATGATCGAAGGGTTGGCGTCCTCCTTTGCTCGGGTTAGTATCGGATTTATCATGCACCGCTATATTTGATTTATTATAATTATTGTTAATAATAATAATTCCCTTTTTTTTTTTTTTTAGACTACGACTTTCGTGCCCTTGATTATTGATCGCGGGATGGGCTTGGAGGCTGAGCATGCCAAGATGCAAGCAGAGAAATTGAACGTGAATTCGTTGTATGCGGGTGTTCAGGGTCTCAATGCCTCCCTTCGCTCAGAGATTGAATGTTTGAAGAAATCTCTGGATGAAGAAAAAGGCAAGTTGAGTGCCTTGGAGAAAAAGTGTCAGAGCTTGGTGACCCGTGCGGACGAGGAAAAATCGACTCGTCTGAAGGCCGAAGTTAGGATTAAGGATCTAAGCCTATCCTTGAAGAATGAGAAGACCGACGCGCTTTCTTTCATGGAAGCTCATAAGGGGTCAGATGACGTCTTGAATACGCCTTTGGGTTTGATGGTGGTCGACAAGTTCTTAGGGAGCGAGTCTTATATCGAGATGCGGGATAACTATGCTAGTGGATTTTTTGCGGAGATCGTGCGGGATATCTGCGGTCAAGTTCGTGCTACAAAGCTTGTCCCAGAGGCTATCCTACGGGAGATAGAGCCGAGCGTCTTGGAACTTGAGCCAGAAATTGGGGCGGAGAAAATTGGCGCCCTGGTCGAAGGTAAGGAGTTTGATGAGATGCCTGAGGCTGCTGGAGCTGAGAACGCTAGCGTTGACCCGACTGCCTAGTAGTGCAGTCGTTTATTAGTTTCGACTCACTTGAGAGTAGTAGTATTTCCTTTATGAATTATTTTTAAGACTTTTGTCTTTTTTTTTTATTTGCACGTATTTGCTTTATAAATGGACTTTTATTTTTATGCCCTTTCAATTTTCGCAATTTTCGTGCTTTTCGGTACTTAGTGGATGATCAGTCCCCTAAGTTTTTTATGTAGGGGCTCCGCAGTTTTGCCGTTTTTTCTTAATTCAGCGTTGCGGAGTCCTTGAGAATTTGATTTCTCTATCAATTTAAGCTTTGGGGAGTGAGATAACAAAGTACGAGTTGGCCAGACCCTTATGATCCTTGCTATCTTCCCCTTTAGCTTTAATCAATGATATATTTTTTGTTTGAGTGTCGTGAGATCACTCTTTGAAACAAGCACTGCATAATAATAACAAAAAAAAAATGAAATCAAAATGGTATAAAATATTGAATTGAAATGACATAAAGTAGAATGGTTGGGACGGGCAATATGCCTCCAACTAGAGCATTTTATTTAACTTTATGTGGCAAGCGATATGCCGCCAACTTATTACATAATTTAAAGCGTTGCGGCGAGCGGTATGCTCCCGACTTATTCCATAGTTTAAGCATTACAGCGAGCGATATGCTCCTGATTTATTATTGAAAAAAAAAAAGTTGCACGCCTGAGGTGCTAAACGAAATATTTCTTCAAGTTCCCTATCATTTTTTCTTTGGAGGAAATCTCCGAGTTTCGCCTCTGTTTCAGGCTCAAGGTTGGTTCCTACTCAGAGTAGTTTATCTTGATCGCGCGGAATCAACTCTACACTTTTCAGTTCTTCTACTGCTGCGAGCCTCGTGCCGCTGGCATTTTGATCAGTCGAGGGGGTGATGAGGTTGTCTTTAACAACCATCACCCATTTTCTCTTTAGGAAATTGGGAGTATCATCCCCTCCTCCCACTTGCTTTTTGTTCCGAAGTTGGGGTGCCCTCAAAGTATTCGCATAACATTCTCGAGCTACGCGTTGATCGCCTACGACTTCTCCAATTCCGCTAGTCGTAGGAAATTTCAACTTCATATGATATGTTGACGGGATTGCTCTAAATATGTTCATACTTGGCCGCCCCAAAATCACATTATACGTTGATGGTGCCTTGACGACCAAGAAGTTAACCGTGTTTGTTGCCCGACGTGGAAATGAGCCCAAAGACAAGACTATGGAAATTTACCCCAAAGCTTCGACAGCGTGTCCTGCAAAACCCACTAAAGGTGTTTTCACGGGTGCGAGTTTCGCATTGGCTATCCCTAGCTTTTCGAAAGCGCCGTAATATATAATATCAGCTGAGCTACCGCCGTCTTCCAAAATCTTCTTCACCAAGTAATTGGAAATTGATGCAGAAATGATCAACGCATCGTTGTGTTCACCACATGGTCCCTCGAGATCGTCGTCGCTAAATGTAATCTCTGGGTTTGGGTGGTGAACATGGTAAACATGTCCTGCCGGACGTTCTGTCGTAGAGTACGAGCCTCCTGCAGCCCGCATTGACGCGCGTCGTGCGCTGGGAGTATCACCACTTGAGGGTCCTCCGGAAATGACTGCAATTATTCCTTGAGTCGGAAGATTGTCATCCTCCCGATCCTTCCGAGCATTGAGATGTTCTTCTTTCTGCTGGAAGTGGGGTTTATTTTTGAATTTCTGGTGTCGCGGAGTATCCACGAATTCTCCCAGGTGTCCTTTCTTAATCAGTCTCTCGATTTCCTGCTCAAGTTGGAAGCATTCGTCGGTAGTATGGCCCCGATCTCGATGGTACTCGCAGTATTTTTCCGATTTTTGCCTTTTCGAATTTTCTTTCATCTGTCTCGGGGGTTGGACTAAACCTTTCCGCTCCGCTACCATCCATACTTCCATGAGTTTTGCTTTTAAGGGGGTGAACTTTGGATAGGTAGGGGCGTGGTTCGAGCGTCCTTCTTCTTTCCTTTTTGTATCATGGCGTTCTTCTTCGCGCCTCCTCTTCACGGGGAGCCCCATCTCTACAGCCTCCTCTATCCGAATAAATTTCTCCGCGCGGTTCAGAAGTTCCTCCAGAGTGCGGGGTTCGTCCTGCGATGGATTCTTGGAAGCGAACATGCTTCAAATTATGTTGCAGTATATCGGCTAGCAGGTCGTAGTTAACATTGGGCACCTCGTGTACAGCTTTGACGAACCGTTGTACATAATCCCTTAACGGTTCTCCTTCGCGCTGTTTGACTTTGAAGATGTATGATCCGTTTTTGGCGTATCTTTTGTTGATGGAATACTGGCTAAGGAAGCGTTCCGATAGTTGGCCTAGACCATCCAAAGATCCTCCAGGCAGGCCGTTGAACCAAGTTTGTGCTTGATCAGTTAAGGTAGTTTGAAAATTTTTGCAGTAGGCGGCGTCGCTGAGGCCGTAAAGGTCGATCTTAGCGAAGAAATTGTTAAGGTGATTCTAGGGATCTCCTGTTCCATCGAATTGGGGCAGATTGGGGATCCTAAATCCGAGCGGTAAAACATCCTCCATAATGGCCGGAATAAATGGGCTTATTCGGGCGGGGAGCGTTCCAAAGCGAGCGGCTGTTGATCTCGAAGTTCCTCGCCGTGGGCTTCTTGAATTACGAACGTTAAAATTCTCACGACACCTTCTCGTCTCTTCAGGTTGAGAGTATTTACTTCCATGCTCGTCTCGGGGGGAGTTGCCTCGACGAAAGGAACGTCCTCGATGTCTATCGTCTCGAGGCTCATGGCGTGGAACACCCGGCCGAGAAGATCCACTTCTCTCTCGGCGGTCTCGCGCCGCTCTCTCCCTTGAGGGAGCCCGTTGCCTTAGGGGGCGTGGTGATCGACCACGTGCTTCTCTTCGAGGGGCCTGGTCTGAGGCTGAGCTATGCTGACGCGACTGGGGCTGAGCATACCTTCGGGGAGCCCGTTCTGAAGAAAGGCTTCGGTCGCTGAGCGACACCCTTTCCTCAGAGTCGTGGAGTTCTACGATGGGCGGAGTCACATGGACGTGAGCGGGATCCGTGGGATCGCTTTCTGACAGAATCGGCTCTTCGAAATCACTATGGCCCCGAGCGCTAATGTATTGAGCTACTGCGTCCGCTGTTGCCCAAGCTGCTGCCTTGGCCGTGGTCTCGTCCATCATGGCTTGCAATTCTTCCGCCGTCATCTGGATGATCGGCACTGAAGGTCCCGCAGTGCTGGTTCCTCCTGCCGTCGTCTTTCTTCGAGGCGGATCCGGGATCTCGACGCCGGCTCCTTGTTGAGGCGGATTGAGACTACCTTGTCCACCTCCTCCCGTGTCATGTGATCGAGTTTGCATTCCCACAGATGGAGCCAAAATTAGGGGTGGAAATCGGAACGAAATTTCCGATTTCCGCCGATTCTGATCCGAATATTTCCGATTTTGGAATGATTTTTCGTAATCCGATGTCCGAAATTCCGATTTCCAAAAATTCTGAAAAAAATCGGATCGGAATCGGAAATTAATATAAAAATTTCGAAATTTCCGAATTCCAATCCAAAAATAATTCCGATTATTTCCGATTATTTCCGAAAATTTCCGATTTTTTTATGTATTTAAAAATTAGTTTATATATATTACATACAGTCTAAGGCCAATATAAGGATTGGGCCATAATTTTATTTCAATATATTAACATTTTGACCCATTTAATTTTGGTCCATTTAATTTTGGCCCATTACTATAAGTAACCCAAATCTTATAATCTTAACCTAAATTTTCATTTCCCCTTTTTCATAACAGCGCAGCTGCAAGATTGCTTCTCTTCTTCTCTTACTTTTTATCCGCCGCTCTGCCTCTCCTTGTGAAGTCGCCGCCGCTCAGCTTCTTCTTGTCAAGTTGCCGTCGCTCAGCAGCTCCGTCTCTCCTTGTGAAGCCGACATCCAAGAGCAGTTGTTTCCTCAATTGATCATTATTTTTTCTTGAGAATCTTATAGGACATTTCTCGTTTATTTCGATCGACCACAAGATCTCAGCAAATCTGAAGTAAAATTTTAACATATTTGAGACGTTTTCGGTAATTGTCAGATTAATGAAAATGTTGAGATCTGTGAAAAAATCCGAAAAACATTGTGTTTGTGTATTTTTTGTGGGTTTGTCTATGTATTTTTTGTTGTTTGTTCAAGAAATATGTGAATTTTTTGAAAAAAAAAATTCCGAAAAAATCCGATTTTCCGAAATTTCCGAAAAAATCGGAATCAGATTATGTTCTTGAATTCCCAAAAAATCGGAATCGGAATCGGAATCGATATTACAGTTCCGAAAAAAATCGGAAATTTTCCGAAAGCCCCGTATCCGATCCGATTCGTCCGATTTCCACCCCTAGCCAAAATGATGCTGCTCAAATGCCAATTGGGCAACCCAAGAGTCCTTGAGCCCACAAAGATAGAGAATGCCGTGAGTCACTGCCACGTGTCCGAGGTAGTCGAAGGGACTGCTCCGTTCGTTAACCTACAAAACAATTGAAACACTAGATGACACGCCGGGTTTGGCCCGGCGATTATCCTCCGACGCTCAAGTCAGAAGATGTATTAATATAAGCAAATAATAGTAATTAATTGCCAAATTAGAGTGTACCTTCCTATGTGAAATAAAACATACATTTATAGGTGAATGAATAGGTAGGACTTTTGTAGAAATCCGATGTGGGACAATGTGTTGTCATTTTAACGGTAAAAAGTAATCTAATTGAGTTTTCACACACAATTAGATTAATTACGGCAATTTGGGCATAATCGTAATTGGGTTTATGAGCCCAATTATGATTAGACACATCATTAAGCCCCCCACTTCCAAGTTGGGTCATGGCTTGTGAGCCTAGTTGGAAGTAATATATAAGCCCTCTCATTCCCTTGTAGGGTTTTTTTTTTTTTTTTTGTATTTTTGAGGTTTCCTTTTCCCGAATTGTGCTAGCGAGATTTAAGAATATTACTGTCAACCACAGTAATATTACTGTCAACCACAGTAATATTACTGTAACGACAGTAATATTACCGTCAACCACAATAATAATATTGTGTTTACAGTAATATTACAATAGTAGACAGTAATATTGTTACGTTAATCGGTCAACAAATCAATCAAAAAAAGGGAAAAAAAAAGAATATTGATGTGGTTGACAATAATATTATTGTGTTTACATTAATTATACGGTCAACGACGGTAATATTATTGCTTTGACTGGTCAACGAATCAAACAAAATAAAAAAACCAAAAAATAATAAAATTGATGTGGTTGACATTAACATTATTTTGTTTACAATAATTGTACTGTCAGCGACAGTACAATTATTGTGTTTACAGTAATTATTTTGGGGAAATAATGAAAAGAATTTGAGAAGCGTAACAAACATAGCCAATATATCCGTTGTTGCTGGGACAAGAAAGGCAATCGAAGCCAAACTATCAACAAAGGAGCAATCTGAATTAACTTTGAGCCGCTGTATTAGAGAATCTTTGTCTAGTTCATATATGTCTTCCCAACCTTAAGTGAAGAGCATACTCGCTGGATCCAGTGCCGTGGCCAGCATACGACACAAATAATAATAATAATAATAATAATAATAATAATAATAATAATAATAATAATAATAATAATAATAATAATAATATTGTTATTGTTATTAAAAATAATATTCATTGTAGAAGTAGTAATAATAATAATAATGGTAATAGTAATAATAATACTAATAAATAATAAAATAATAATAATTATAATAATGATAATAATATAAGAGTAGAAATAATAATAATAATAATAATAATAATAATAATAATAATAATAATAATCATAATAATAATAATAATAATAATAATAATAATAATAATAATAATAATAATAATAATAATAATAATAATAATAATAATAATAATAATAATCCCCAATCATTATATTCTACTTTTGCACGTACTTTCGTAGAGAATATCCACCACAACCAAACATATTCTCATTTCTACACCTACATAAAACTAAAAATTCCCCTTCATCCAAACATATTCTCATTTTCTACACAAAAACCAATAAACTACTTTTTCCATCAGAAATTTTAAAAACTAGAAATTCTCATTGGAAACATAACCAAACATCCCCTTATATTTCCTTTTAAAGCATTCTCTTTTACTTATAGAAAAATGACTTGGTGATTATAACTGAAATCGTGCAAGCCGGAAGGGCTGTCACCAATAAGTGGGTTAAGCGTTTTTAAGTACCTCCGACTTTAGCTGTAACCGTAGGGAACCGTAGGGAAAAATAAGGAGAAAAAAATGCAGGTCAGACGATAAATCATTTTTTCAACTACTTTTCCCTCATTTCTGCCATAAAAATCATTGCCCGAGTCAAGAAAAATCAGTAGTTGCCGGAACTCAGAGACAGTACGAATCCGAGTCACTTGGATCGGCGATGGCTTCCTCTTCCGATCGCGAAACAGCTGTCTACGTCGCTAAACTCGCCGAGCAAGCCGAGCGCTACGACGGTAAAACCCTTTTTCCCTCACCATTAAATATATATATGCCTGTATGTATAGATGTAATTGAGCTTCAGAGCTTGTATATGGATCTGGTTTCCGCTTGCGTTTTTGTTTAATTTGATCTTAATTTTGTGGAGTTTGAATGAAGTGAACTTTAGATAGCTGCGATACTTTAATTTTGAGCTGCTTGCTACAGTCTATAGCCTAGCTTGGGTTTTGACTTTTCTTAGGCCTCGTTTGGTTGGGGAGATTAGTCGTGATTAACTAAATTATTGGATTTTGTTTGATGTTTGGTATCTCCAATTACTTGCCGGGTCGACCCGAAAATACTATTTGATCATGCCTTATCTTGCCTTTTAGGCATGTTTTTTGTTGGATCATCGAAGGTCCTATAATATAATTGAGTTTTATTAGATTATTTAATCTTATCTTGACAACCAAACGAGGCCTTATTGTATAATTCATTGGCGATCTCTTTAGGTCTATTTTAGTTCTTTCTTCTCTCGTGAACCTAATTGTTATTTAGAACAACAGAAATTGGGAGCAATGAAATATGTGATTACGGTAGAGGTATAAGCGTATTAATTACACGATGAGCTGATTTTTCTCTCTTTAAAATGAGTAACTTTGACGATTGGATACATTAACCATGATTAACTAAATAATGAGACATTGTTTCATGTTTGGTATCCCCAATAACTTGCTGGGTCGACCCGCAAATATTATATTATCATGCCTTATCTTGCTTTTTAGACATGTTTTTTTTATTGGATCTTCCAAGGTCCAATAATACAATTGGGTTTCATTAGATTATTTAATTTCATCTTGGCTTAATCTTATATTCCGAACCAAACGAGGCCTAATTTGATAATTTGATTTTGATCCTTTTTTTTTTCCTAGTGGAATTTGATTTACTTTTCCTATGCTATTGAAAGAAAAAAGAAACTTAGTTGTTGGATTGGACAAGTCAATTTGATAATTGGATTTCGATCGTTTTTCCTACTGGAATTTGATTTACTTTTCCTATGCTATTGAAAGGGGGAAAAAGAAACTTAGTTGTTGGATTGGATTAGATAATTTAATTTGATAATTGGATTTCGATCGTTTTTTTTTTCTAGTAGAATTTGATCTACTTTTCCTATGCTATTGAAAGGAAAAAAAAAAGAAACTTAGTTGTTGGATTGGGTAAATTAATTTGATAAATGGATTTCAATCATTTTTTCTACTAGAGTTTGATTGACTTTTCCTCTGCTATTGAAAGCCAAAACAAAATAAAAAAAATTGTTGTTGGTTCCTAAATTATGGACTGAATTTCAGAGATGGTGGAAGCGATGAAAAAGGTAGCGAAAATGGATGTTGAGCTCACAGTAGAAGAGAGGAATTTGCTATCGGTAGGGTACAAGAATGTGATTGGTTCTCGAAGAGCTTCGTGGAGAATCTTGTCATCAATTGAGATGAAGGAAGAGTCGAGAGGGAATGAACAAAATGCTAAACGGATCAAACAGTACCGTCACAAAGTTGAGTCGGAGCTTACCGATATTTGCAGCGATATCATGACCGTCATTGACGAACATCTAATTCCCTCGAGCACAGCTGGCGAATCAACCGTGTTTTACTACAAGATGTAAGTACGCTATGTTATGTAATAAATGGCATTCAGCGTCTAATTTGTGATTGCATCTGATTTAAAATTGATTTTGTTTCAATTTTCACAGGAAAGGGGATTATTATAGGTATCTTGGCGAGTTCAAGACTGTTAACGACAGGAAAGAGGTCGCGGATCAGTCACTGAAAGCATATGAGGTGCATATCAGCTTTACTTTAATTAACATTTTCAGACAACCTTAATGTTTTTATTTATGTTATAAGTGATGTTTAAGTCTACCTTTTTATTTGGAAATCCATGGAAGGCTGCGTAAAACAATGTTAAGGTGGCCATTCGAAAATATGATAGCTTTTCGATTACATCATTCCATCTGATGATGTCATGTGATGTCTATATTACGAAAGAAACCCGAGGTTTAAGATGCATACGATGAATCTGTGGCATGTATTCATTGTTACCAGTTTACTATTTTTTCTTCACTAAATACCTTCTTGACTGATGCAGTAGAGATTAACTTGGTTAATCATTTATGGAAGTACTGCATCATCAACAGTGATTGTTCATGGGAAGTGAGAAATCGTGTCTTTATTTATTGAAGGGGAAAAAAATGATGTTTAACAATATATAATAAAAACTTCACCACCAAACACTGCCGAGCCGATTTATGTATAGATTTCTTAGCGTAAAAAAATTCTTCTTTTACAATACAAAGTTGCACTTATATTTCACGACTTTCGATCTCCTTATTATTCTCGTTCAGTACCTTATATTGCATCGATTCACCTCAAAAGAATAGTATATACAATTCCTGAAGATAAAACAATGAATTTTCAGTTATCAAAGATTCTTTTAAATATCTATCTGCATTTAAGTGCTTATTTTTCTTCTTGTTGCTTGCTTGAAGACGGCGACCACAACTGCTGAAGCGGAGCTAGCTCCAACACATCCAATTCGCTTGGGTTTGGCTTTGAATTTTTCCGTCTTCTACTATGAAATCTTAAACTCACCCGAAAGGTCTGTCTTGTTACTCATTTTTAATTTGAATTTAAACGGTATCGGTTCGTTCTATCTCCGTGTTGACTGATTTAACTGTCTCCCCAGGGCATGCCACCTGGCAAAGCAAGCTTTTGATGAAGCAATCTCTGAGCTTGATACACTGAACGAGGAATCGTACAAAGATAGCACCTTGATTATGCAGCTTCTGAGGGACAATCTCACACTATGGACCTCTGACATCTCCGAGGATGCAGGTGACACATTAATTATGAAAATAAATATATATTTGCCGATTACCAAATTGTAGAGATCCAAATCTATAATAAACTAAGTTTGCCTGCCAAAACTGAACTAAAAAGTTCGTTCCAAAAACTCCTATCAATTTTTTAAACAGAATAGCAGTCGATTCGTTCAGTCAATTGTCCTCCACATTTTAAAATTTTATTATCTAGCTGAGTCCAAATAGCTATATATCAAATATTAGTTTCCTGGCCGGCTGGCCGAGAACTGTTTACAGCGCCATTGAGTTGTATTATTTTTTGAAAAATAAATGAAATAAGTTAGGTTCTTATGGCACGCAGTATTATTTTGTGAACGTAAATTAATTCGTTAACTCCAATGATTTAAATGTCAATGTTTGCAACCTTCTAGCTACGTTTTTTATGTGCTGAAATTAAAGAACCGTTTGTTATAATTGGAAGATTTATGTATGCTTGGTAAAATGACTTTCTGTGCTTGCAGAAGAAGCACCAAAATTGGATGCTAGCTACAAACCTGGAGATGAGGATGCAGAGGTTCGTTATTTCCTTTATATATATATATATATATATATATATATATATATATATATGTGTGTGTGTGTGTGTGTGCTAATTTGCTGGTTAACCTTGCAGTGAAGTCGGTGGATGATTAGAGGCAGGGAAGGGCCCGAGGAAGACGAAGGGGGAGTTTGTTGATACTTTGTGTTTTATTTATGGATTGTTTATTTTATTATGTGTGAATTGGTGTTGGCTTGTTGTTGTTTATATTGGACGTGTCCATTGTGTTTGGATGTGGGTGTGGCTTATATAGGTGGTTTAATTTTAGTGACTGCCTTAGCCTACATGCAAGTTTCCGTGTTCGTTTCGTTTCGGACGCAGTCGATCTAATCTATTCGATGTTTCTTTCTCCTCACATTTTGTTTGATGTCTGCCTACATTTGTTGCTTTGGAATGTTACCTTTCTATTTAGGGATGACATAAATGTTGCCAAAAGGGATTTAATAAGAGAGGTGTTATTTCCACCCTCAAAATATCTTATTTCACCATCAAATTAAATATATTTTCTATTTTGCCCCTTTCTTCTTCTTTCACCTATATATTTTTATAAATTTATAATCCGTCCACCACTAAATTACTTAAAATATTTATAAAAAAAAAATCCATCATTTTTGCTGGGATTTTTACAGCAAAATTTCACCATCTCCACCTTAAGTGAGTAATATTTTCGCCCATAGAAAAACATTTTCGAATGTCAAAAAAAGCATAAATTCACGTTCTTGGAGAAATAAATTAAGAGTGCTTGTATGGAAGATTCTCAACTTCCTCCAAAATTGATCAATTTAGCTTAATATAATTCCGTTTCCTAAAAAAAATATTATATAATATGTAAGTCATCTGATATGGAAATTTAAATATCTTGTAATAAATTTTTCATTGCAAAAAAAAAATTAAAAAAATTAAAAAAATAGAAATAGAAATAACTTAGAACACATGAGGATTAAACGAATATAAAGAAGAGTGGTGGATTATAAATTTGAGGGTTATTTATACCATTTTATATACTTTGGTGGTGAATTGAAATATTTTAGAGGTGGAAATAACATCACTCTTTAATAATAATAACAAGGGACAATTTGCTATTTGCTATAGGTCCTCCTATAAGATATTTTATGTGTATAAATTCAACTAATCTATATCTACACCTATACTTATTATTATTATAAATCCAATATAATTAGTGATTTCTTCATTTTTTTAGGTACAAAAATACCCCTTTCATATACAACAAGATTTGAAGGGTAACACTGGTATTATTAATTATTAATTAATTAATCTTATTCAAAGTTTATTATATGGATATTTTACAAATAAACCCATCAATGGCTACTTATTCTTAATATGGTCCAAATAATAAATTTTTTTACAAAAAAATCCACACATGGTCTAGAGGTTTGTAAAAGACTAAAATAATCATCATTTAATTATTCTAACCTCATTTTGATTCCAAATTTCACAAATTATTCAATTTTGACCCAAAATACAATTTTAGGGGATGTTTGTTTTTATTTCCAAAACTCATTTCCAATTTTATACTATTCATAAAACCGAGATCATGTATGTTTTTATCCAGAGAATTCCATTTTTTCTTATCAAATTTCTATTGAAAATTCACTATTCATATTTTTTTCAATTTTCAAACCTACTAAAACCTATTAACTAACTTATATACAGTAGAACCTCGATAAATTAATACCCGATAAATTAATAACCTCGCTTAAATAATAAAATTTTCCGGTCCCGACTCGGGGACAACGTGCTAAATTAATAATTCGCTAAATTTATAAGATAATACACATTCGAAAATTTTAAGAAGCCCCATATAATATATAAATTAATAATGCATAAAAATAATTTTTAAATTACATGAAACAATACATATTTTATAGATCTATGAAGGCTTAATTCAATATAATTTAATTCTCGTTTGTTTCTTGTTGAAATTCACATTACCAGCAATCTCGTCCCTCACCTTTCTTAACATAGTTAGAATTTTCGGTATGGTTTTCTCATACTTCAACATAAATCGTTCTATACCATTGCTGCTTTAAGAGCTTCCGTTCGGAAAAAGGGCTCTACAATGCATTAAACTAGTAATACAATGAATAATATACACGTAATTGTTTTTGAAAAAAATTGTATTTATTGAAAATAATAATAGAAGTAATTTTATAAATTAATAAGTTATTAATTAATGTATAAATTAATAATTATTAATTTATCGATAAGTTAATATTTCGCTAAATTAATGAAATCTTGATGGTCCTAACTGTATTAATTTATAGAGGTTTACCTGTATTTTATTCCACCAACTCCTTTATCTCTCATTTTATTCATCACTCGTCATTAATATTTACACTCCCTCTCCTCTCATTTATCTCTCCTCATTAATATCTACACTCTCTCTCCTCCCAATTTATCTTTCTTCTTCTAATAATAATAATAATAATAATAATAATAATAATAATAATAACAACAACAACAATAATTATAATAATAATAATAATAATAATAATAATAATAATATTAACAAAATAATAATAATAATAATATTATTATTATTATTATAATTATTATTATTATTAATATTTATTGTAGAAGTAGTAATAATATTAATAATGGTAATAGTAATAATAATACTAATAAATAATAAAATAATAATTATTATAATAATTATAATAATATAAGAATATAAACAATAATAATAATAACAAAAATAATAATACTGCAAAAAAATTAATAGATGATAATAATAATAATAATAATAATAATAATAATAATAATAATAATAATAATAATAATAATAATAATAATAATCACTATCATCATCCTCAATTATTATATTCTACTTTTGCACGTACTTTCGTAGAGAAAATTCATCACAACCAAACATATTCCCATTTCTACACCTTACATAAATTTAAAAATACTCCTTCATCCAAACATATTCCAATTTTCTACACAAAAACCAATAATCTATTTTTTCCATCAGAAATTTTGAAAACTAGAAATTCCCATTAGAAATATAACCAAACATCCCCTTAGTCTCTCATATTTTAATATGTTCCAATTTTATCCTTTAATTTAATCTAACCTCAATTTGATCTCAAGTTTCACAAATTATTCAATTTTGACCCAAAACACAATTTTAGAGACAATTTCGTCCGTCACCGCTGGTCAACCGCGTTGAATTTTTTTTTCTTCCTGATTTTTCGACCGATTTTCGGCATTGAATTTTTCGATTATTTTTCTTCCAGATTTTTCCGCCACCAGTTTCCGGCGTTGACTCTTTTGATTTTCTTTTTTTTGAATTTTTTTTTCGCTAACATCTTTTTGCCCCCCGTTTGAACAACAATATTGATGTGGTTGACAGTAATATTAACTATATTACTGTTAAACACGGTAAAATTAACTATACTATATTGTGATATTAATTTCTAGATATTAATATATTGACCGGTCGTTCAACATATGTAAACATAATAAAAAACAAAAGAATTAATATTACTGTGATTACCGGTAGTATTACTATAACCGTAATATTATTATAAAAAGCAAAAGCAGTAAGAGAAGTAAACAATACATTTGGCATAGTAACACACATATTAATGGAAGGAGGAGAATTAGGAATCGAATTCTAGAGCATGGGGGGGCATATGCCAAGAACAATACCCCCTCTAAATTCTCTCCCCCCAAAGGCCAAACCCCAACGCCATCTTTTGTTTGAATGCCCACACACACACACACACACACACACACACGCACGCACGCACTGTCAATCACCATGAGAACTTGTTGCCATGGGAATCGATCCGGATTCCGGCATAGCCTCCTCTTTATATTAATTACAACTCCCCCCTTTTTTTCACTTTCAACCCCAATATACATTCATAGCGCATTTGCCACTCTCATGGAAAACTCACATTCAAATGCTCATCATATATCCGCCGTCATATTTGATTTGGACGGCACACTTTTGAACACAGGTCTGATTATTATTGTTAATTTTTTTTTAATTTTTTGTAATTTTGTTTTTTTTTTTTGATGGTTTATTCAATTGGGGGTGACCTAGATTTGTTGGTGATTGTGATTTCTCAGAGCAAGTCACGAAGAATGTTCTGAAGGAGTTCTTGGCGAAATACGGGAAGTTGCAGGACAATGAAAAGGAAAAGAAGAGGTTCGGTCTCACATTCAAAGAATCAGCTATAGCAGTTGTCGACGACTACGATCTTCCGTTGACACCCGAGCAATTTACCCTCGAAATCGTGCCAATGTACCAGGGAACGTGAGTCTCTCTATAATCATGCTGTCTACTGAAATTGAAGCTATGTTTATGTAGTCAATGTGTTTGTGTGTATGCATTATGTGTGGTGTTTTTATCTGCAAAGTTTGTTACTTTCGGTTAACGTTCCGTTTAATTGCTTCTTGTTTTTATTTTTGGGTTCTGTATGTTTTTTTTGTTTCTAAACACTCAGGCCTCTGGATTTGAAACTTTACTCTTCGACTATCGAGCTTTTCAACTTATCGGGTTTTTGTTCTGTATGTTGGTTGAAAATTCTAATTCATGATACCTTAAACGATGTAAGAAAAGACGAAAAGGAAACGAGAAAGAGATAGCGGTAACAACACTTGTATACTAATAGAATTAAGTATACGTATTGGTTAGTGCCTTAGTCTTGACCGCCCT